GGATATAGCTCACTCACACTGAGGACCTATCCATGACCATTTACCCAGAATGCTTTGTGGGTAAATAAAATGGCTCCGTCCGTGTTAAAATATATTTTTAAAAATTATAAAAACTAAACATCCTACAGTATTTTTACAGTCTTTATTTTACAGTTAAAATATATGTTTATTAAATAAATCATGTATCCCTTTAATCATTTAACTGCAACTATCACTAGCATTAGCAGCACACAGATGAACAGTAGTTGTTGCTTCTATCAGGAGTTAAAGCTGAAAACTGAAATGATGTTGTTTCAAAACATAAGATTATAACCTTCTCTTCACAGCATCATGATTTTTACACACCAGAACTGTTTCATGTTTTACTGGGAGGTAACAGCAGATCAATCAAAACTGATGTTATCTGTAAACTCTGGTCTCATATTAGGATCGATACTAGCCTGATGCTACAGATACTTTATTTTGTTTCACTTCTTTTTCTTTTCCCTCTTCTTCATTTCTGTTTTCTGTCCAGTCAATCATGTAGTTTTCTTCATCTTTATTTTCTTCTTGGACAGGACTTGTTTTGGGCAGTACCACCCCACACAAGCAGCTGTTGTAATGTTTTCCCAGTGGTTTGGTCCTCTTTCAAACGCGCAGTGTAATGTTCAAATGAATGATGAAATGTTTTAGAATTGCCCGCTACGATCCTGGTGTGAACCCTACAAATGTGTCCTTGCTTGATGTCCACAGGCAGCCTTCAGTATCTTTGGGATGGTGGGTGGTCCTCTGCTGGGACTCTTCTGCCTGGGAATGTTTTTCCCCTGGGCAAACTCCATTGTGAGTCCTGCACTGCTACCTTTCTAAAACCTGTGTAACTTAAAGAAAGTTGATCATCGTCTCTGAATTTGATGCGTTGATGTTTTCCACCCGGCTGCTCTCAGGGTGCAGTTACCGGGCTAGCAGCAGGTCTGGCCATGGCCTTCTGGGTCGGGATTGGCAGCTTTGTGATGCGTATGTCTGGTTCCACCCCAGAACCCCTACTTAACACCACCGCTCTGCCGCTGTTTGACAACATGACCACTGCTGCTCTGACATCAGTGGTCAGCACCACCACATCTAAGCCAAGGTAACAAACAAACCTCGACAGTCTTCTGCCTTCATTCCTGTGTAACAGTTTAATAAATTCATACTTCTGATAGTGAAGCACACATACTGTATATTAGTGTGTGCTGTGTTTACCTTTTTTAGGGTTGTTTATCATTATCTGTGGCTTCCCTTCACTAGGCCGACAGGCGTTGAGGCTCTCTACTCCTTGTCCTACATGTGGTACAGTGCTCACAATTCTGCTACAGTGGTGGTGGTGGGGCTGCTGGTCAGTCTTCTAACAGGTAGGCACTTTGAGCCAGTGCTGTTTTCGTTAGCCATGATGAAATATTTTCGTTGACTCCTCCTTTTTTCATGACGATAACGAGACGTTAATGAAATAAACAGCTCTTTGGTGACTAAGACCTGATGAAACGTCCATTCAGGTCCATTCTGAGCTCAGAAACTGTTTATGTTCATAACGAAAGTAAAACTCTTTTTTTTCTTTTTTTTTGCGGGGAGAGTTAGCAACTGTGCATGTCAGCGCTGCCTGGTGCATGTAAACACTCGTTTGCACAAGTTTAATACTAACTAAGTTCAGGACTGCATGATGTCTGTTTTTATAAATAAGATGCATCTTCATGGTCCTGACTGACAGGTTTGTGTTGAACATGTGTGTTCCTCTTTATTGTTTATAATATTGGACATGTGTATTTTGTGTGTTCATTGCACTTTAGCAAATTCTGAGAAATAAAACCA